GGTGTATTCCAGAAGCACCCTGTTCAAAGAGAATAAACACATCAATCATACCATATAGCACCCAAACTAGATAACTACTTTTAGAGTGGGTATGTATGCTTTGCTTATAGAATTCTAAACTTTATATGAGTTTATGGATCATGATATGTAAATTAGTAACAGATGCAGCTGACTCATCAACAGATCTATGGAATCTAGAATTCCCAGTTAGGGAATTTCACAAACCTATCAGTACATCAAATCCATATGTTAACCATTTGCACATTAGGTTTATCCATCTATGTAAACACAAGAATGTTTTTTTTGTTTATTCCAATTTATTATAGCCAATGGATTCTGAATTTGCAGGAGCATTGTCAAAATAGTTTGGGCCCAAATAATGCTTTTGGATGGAGACTGAATTATCATTCCACCCATAACACCAATGCAGTCATCTCTGGGGTGGAGCACATGATTTTTGAACAACAATGGACCCATAATTTAGGACCGGAAAGCAGAATAATAGCCTTTGACACCTGGATAATTAGAGAATAAAAATGCTTTAACTATAAATTCCATAGAACTTCAGTGTTCTTAAATAATTAGAATATTTTATTTCATACTTACTGGATAAAACGGGGAAAGAACTATCCTGCCACTCTCTGAAATTTCACTACAAACCATACTCTACAATATTTTAAATATCTTTTTCTTAGTCTAAAAATGCCATTTTACTAAGTAGTTTCTAGCTAATACTTTTTTAAAACATTACTAAGGATGTATTTATGCTGTGTGTTTGATATTCATCCAAGCTCATATTTGCAAAATGCCAGCAATACATACTTGGAGTGCCACCCTTTAAGAAGTCAAAGCTACTCAGCTTTTTATGACAGCCAGTGTATTACTTAACATCACAATCTTACACTTTTTACCAAATAATAAGACCCATCTCATTAGGTTCAATAATACCAGTATTACAGCCTAACGCAAATAAATTGATATGCTGATAAAATTAATACATAGAAGGATTAATTCTTTAGTCCAATAATAATACATTTTCTTCTGGAAAAGTGTAACTTCTCACAATACTTCCATCTTGTATCAGAAAATCATTAGATACTGATAGTAAAAATCTTTAACACTGGAAGGAAATATATTAAGAAATACAGAATACCATAGTTTATTGGAAACATCTAAGTTCAATATGAACTATACAACAGCAACTTGTCAGACTTTGAATCTTGAAAAATCTGCATTAAAAATATCTTGGGACCTTGGACACTGAAAGCCTGCATCCATGACCAAGCTACAGGCTTTCCTATTTCTCACAATCTAGCTATTAGTAATAGATATTTCAGTGATCCCCATGAAGAAAATTAGATATTCTTTCCCAAGATTTGCAAACTATGCCAAGAAGTTTACTTTTCATTTTAAAGTACACACTCAGATTTTCAAAGAAAAAAAAAATTAAGAAGGAAATCCTAGTCTTCCACACAAGAATTTTAAAAGAAATACCATTGATACTACATTGCTTTTCTTTTTGAGAGTAAGCAATATTATGCCATGTACAATAATCAAGAGACAGTAGTAAACAAAAAAAAATATGGCATGGGGTAAATAGAAAAAAAAAGGAAAATATAGTGAAATCTAGTTTTATGCTATCATCATTCACTAGATTTCTCCACATCTTCCTATCCTTATATTTTTGCTTCTGACATGCCTTCATATATTATTGTGCCATCTGCTTTTTAAACATCTCACTTCTCTTTTTTGAGGATCACATCAACTTGATCCAACCATGACTTGTTCAGTTTCCCTTTTCCCTTGGCCCATTCATTCTTTTCTGATGTATTATGTTGCAATTTGATCTTCATTATTTCCAATATAATTGTTTCATACTGATCACCATTTTTGTATTCCTACACCCGTTCAGCACTCATTCATTCTTGATCCTCTCTTATGACACCACACACATTTCTTAAGTACCCCATTCCCAGGGCATTCAATTTATTTTTATGTTTCTTCCAGTATAGCTTAGTCTCATAAGCATATAACAAAGTGGATAGAAGCATATTCTTATACATAACAATTTTTCACTTCATTCAACAACATTCATTCTTTGTAACAGTTCACATAGTATCTAGTACTATTCTACCAGCATTTGCATGCCTTATAATATTTCTTCATCTATGTTTGTTTACTTACTATTCTACCAAGATACAATTTACTTGCTCTAGTTGTTGACTATTTGGGTATAACTTGCAATTGTTCATTCCATTTTCCTTGTCAAGAAAAGCTACTTTGGTCTTTGGTACATCAATTCTCAGTTCCATGCTCCTTTTTACATCAAACCATGTGAATCACTCAGGTTCTCATAACACTGTCTGCCTAAAAGTATACACCACTTCACACCCAATCCAGATATGTCTTCATGTTACCACAAGCATTCCTTAAACATCTACCCATCTTTACATTAAACAACCAAGGAAATATCACACACATTTGTAATATTTCCTGCTCAATGTTGAACACTATGCATTCCATTTATTATCACACATGCTTTACTTCCATCAGATATTATTCATATCATTTTCATCAATCCAACTTCCTATTCACCCACATTCATAATTCAGATTTACCAAAAATTTTCAACAAAAATTTTCTATATTGCACGTCAACAAACATGCAATATAGTTTATTTTTCACATTCATATACATCTCAATGACTTGTGGAACTACAAATTCTGGTCTACATAGCTCTTGTCCATCATAAAACAAGTTTAGATTTTTGGCCATACCCTTTTAGTCAAAATTATGCTAAATATTTCCCCACAAAATTCTAGTTTTTTGCATTTAACTCATGCTATCTTTCCCTTTTTATATGGGAAAAATACATTCTTCTAATTGTCTGGCAGAGATGCAGTTTTCACACACAATTTACACGAGTCATGCAATCACTCAATATTTAAATCACATCTATAAATTAATATTTCTCCTGTTACACTATCTGCACTTACAGACTTATTTTTCAATGTTCCAATATGTTTTTTTCCTATTTTTTCTTAGATGCTACTGTTTATAGTATTTGTTTCAATTATGTTTGATATATCACAATCTTTCATACTCCTCAAAGCTTTTGGTCACTTTAGTTTCATCCCAAATTACAATATCTGATCTATTTTTAGGTCTATTCACTTTGCTTGAGGCTGTTTGTTCATTTCCTTTCTCCATTAAAACTGCTCTGCATTTTCTCTGCCTTTTTAAAGATAACTACATCCTTTGCAATTATTTTTTTGCTCTACACGACTATACAATATTTTTACATTCTCATTTTTTAAACATTCTCTTATGTGTATTTTTCTTATCCACTATCTCTTTCATCATTTTTCATACTCCCTGTTAGCATAACTCCACATATGTTTGTGACAGTCTGTATCATTATTCTTTTCACTCTGTTCCAAGTAGCTACAAACCAGCCTTAGCCCTCCACAGACTGGTTCTTCTGTTTTACAAGATCAGTCTTGTTAAAAAAAGATGCAAAAATATCAAGCATCAGAGTACAGTACTGTGTGTAACCAATGGTATCAGTCTCCCCACAACTCTCAATGAAGTCTGAGGTCTTACTCTGTCTTGGAGGGGCATCTTAGGACAAGCTGTTTAATGAAAGCAGACCAGCTGTAAATCTCCTGGTCTGAAACCCAAAAATAATCCTCCTCACAATAGAGTTCCCTGAAGCAGAAAATAGCAAGGGTTCATTGATCATTCCTCCCTGCTTTTTATCTGCTGTTTAAAAGCATATGGGGACATTAATCTGCAACTTTAAAAACAAAATGTAATCTTGAACAGTGAAGCACGGAAACTAAATTTTCCATCCCTCTATGATTATTTAATTACTGAGGCTTCTTTTTTGCTGAAGTCAGGACTGCTCAATCCTCAAAAATCCTTTATCAGTATTTATGTACCACAACATTTGGAGTGTCAAATACTGCTGATGACATTGTTAGGTTAGAACAGTTTCTGCTATTGATCCAGCTAATGCATCTACAGCAGAGTGAGACAGTTCTTAGTCTAGAAAGGGAATAATAATGCTATTGACTGACATGGACTAAAGAATCAGGGCAGATCTTATGCACATGGGTTTACATCACAAAGGATCACATGCATGCATTCAAGCAGCACAGATTCTGTGTCCCAACTTGCAAAATTTACACAGGAACTTTGAACATGGAATCAGACAAGGATTTCTGATCCACATATTAGTGAAGGCCATACTCCTTTAGTGTAGCAAATACTGTAGTCCTCTAGGATGTGTTTTAAGGGTTCCTATATTCTGGGGTGCATAAAAATCAGACAGCAAAGCCAAATCTGTTTCCGGCAGGATGAAACCACAAATCATTCCAATTTCTCTCTTAGGAGTACATTTGGATGGAGCACGTGTGCTGAAACCCTGCTAGCCCCAAAGCAGTCCTTAAACCAGCTAGCATGTCTGCATTAGTGAGAAGAGGAGGCACAGCAGTTTCCACTTCAACCTGGTGAGACGGGCTGGACTGGCTCTTACATAAAGTGAGTAGGCAAGTTTCCAGATCACCCCAAATTCCTAGAGAAGGAATTCAAGGGACCTGGGATGGCTCTCAAAGCTTTGCACTCAGAATGGGAAATAATCCCCCACTCCACCCCAAACATCGAAACACACACAGAGAGAGACATTTCTGTAGAACCTACAGAACTCTATAACCCGGGAGGATAACTTCTCTATTTCCAGCAAGAACGGAGGTATATAGAGAGATATGCCCGCTTCACTGCACGCTCATCTGAGCCACACACCTGGGCAGGAAAAGAGCGCGGAGGCGCCCTTTCTCAGGCTTGGGACGGGTCGCGCTCGGTGCCCGCTTAGAGCAGGGATCGTGGTTCCCCCTTTAGGCCTTAAGGAGAAGCGCTGTACGGAGAGCGGCTCTCGGTATTTACAGAGTCTGAGCTACCCCCTTCCCGAGGGCCCCGGACGGTTTAGTTAGGGAGCTCACCGGCTCGCTTGCGCGGGTTTCCCGGGGTGATCGGCCCCTCTCTGCGCTGTCTTCCCACGCAGCTGCCCATGGCCGAAGTCCCACGGTGCAACTTCAAAGGACCTGCGTGCCTGAGCCCGGCTCAGGGCTGTCTCGCCCCGCATGAGGCAAGATCCCAGTTCGCCCTCCGGACGCCCAAACTTTGTGAGACGCGGTTGGGGGGCTTTCTCCTCCGCACTTCAGATCCTCGGGTTTTCCTTGCAAAAGAAAAAAGGAAAAGGGGGGAAGCCCGCAAGCAGGCTCCGTACTGCCGAAGCGAGGTCCGCACCGGGCAGGCCCAGGGATCGGTCGTTACAGCGCTACAACCGCCACCCCACAGAGCTCTGAGCCGGGATGAGTGCCGCGGCCCTGGAAGACACTTCTGGGCTCCTCCCTCTCCAGGTGAGCATGTGACTCGGCGGCCGGAGCTCAAGCCCCGCCCCGCCTCCTCTCCGCCAGGAAGCGGGTAGTCCGTGACCCTGGCCTCAATTCCAGCGGCGAGGGGACGGGCGAGACGGGGCTGCAACGGAGGAGGCGTAGGGCCAAAGCAGGGTGACACCCTTCCAAACTCCTCCTACAGGACTAGAATACAGGCGAGTTAAGGTGAAATAGGCATTTCCCTCCCAAATGCCAAAAGGCTCAGTGGAAAGGTGATTTCCCGAAGCTACAAGACGCACCGAATCATTTTAGCTTATATACAGTAATGTTACACGCAGTCAGCCTATATGGTTACTCAACGTGTCGCGCAAATCAGTACCATTGCTTTGAATAAACAATTCAGTTCTCAGCAGGGGGCAGCAGCTGGCTGGTTCGTTTGAATTGGGAAGCTAAACCAAGCCCAATCTGGTTAGAGCTTGGCTAGGAGATTACCGGAGAATTCCAGGTTGGTAGGTCAACGTCCTGAGAGAAAACAGCAGCAACCCACTTCCATACAGTTGCTAAGAAAATAAACCACATCACTGTGCAAGCTCACTTATGGTTCAGCTAATAATGTATAAATACATAATTCACATAAAAAGCCATACATGACAGTGAAAGTGCTCCAACTGCTTCCTTGGTACCTGTTCCTTTTGTGCATGGTATTTGGTCTTGTAACTGTTTCCCAACATTTACAACTTTTAAAATGTTTGGATTTCCCATTGACTGAGGAATTCTAGAAGCTGAAGTTCCACACCTCTTAGTTGGGAACCAGTGATCTAATTGATGCCACATTTCTTTCATCTCTCAATTTTTTTTTCTTAAAAAGAAAAATGATTTATGAGATATTTAACTCTTTAGTTGGTTCCCTTCCTATGTTTACATGCTTATGAACAGCAAACACTGCCCATGGAAGCCTACGTCCACCTAATTCAATACTATTGGTTCAACCAATTTGCATTGTGCCTCCTGAATTTCAGAAAGAATTTTTGTCCATTGTTTTATGTTTCCAAAACAAACCATACCTATTCAATTTAAACAATTAACTAAGAAGTAAATTTTTAAAAATATTCTGGTAGAAGACACTCATCAGAGCCACTTTTGGGTATTGCACCCAAGACAACTGCATGAATATATTCATGAAATCACCAGGAATCAAGCACAGTTCAAAGGCAATGCTTTCTCTTTTTTTGCCCTTTTTAAATGTTCAGCGCTGCTATCCCCATCTAAATTTACTCTATAGTTAGGATTTCTCTTTCCTACCTGTGATCTCATTTCTATCTTATACACCCATTCAGAATTGATACCCAGGAAACACTGAATTAATACAGTTGCTTGCATTTGCACAGCTCATTGCTCAGATAAAACCCGGTCCTAAATTGTGGCTCAATATATCATAGGAACTAGCTCATATAGTTAGCTTATGGTTCTGTGGGTTTTGCAAGCTCGGTGAGATTTGATAAAATATTATTCAAGAACCATAGCTTAGAATAATGTAGAAACAAGAGTCACTGAACCATAAAGAAACAAATTCAGCTACTTTCTTAAAATACACTTAGCTAGATTGTGACTTGCTAACATGTCACGTCAGCACAGAGAAAAAAGTTCCTTGGCTTCTGTGCAAAATTGATAGCTGCAATGCTTAACTCTCTGTTCCTGATAGAAATGAGAGACCTGATTGCAAAAAAAAAAAAAAAAAAAGACTCAAGACAAACTCCACTCCAGATCACTGCATAAAAATGACCTAGCATTATTTCTGGGAGTGGGAGGGTGGGGCGAGAGAGTGTATCATGCATAGATTTAATAATATGGAAGTAAATTGTTCTTTGGGGATATGTTTTCAACTTCCCTAATTAGCTTACATCCCCCAGATTTCATTGGGATTTCCCAAGAACAAGGTTATCCCTACTGAACTTCAGTGGCCAAAGTTGATCCAATGTTACCAGATGCTGATGAATCATGGCTTACTCAATCCACTTTTATTGGTTTGCATGATATACTGAAACCAATGGGCTGGGTACATGATACTAAAATGTGGTTGGCAAGTTCTTCAAGAATAGCCGAATGTTGAGCTGGTCAGTGATCCAAGTTTTGTGGGGCTATCAAAAGCAATTTTGTCCATTTCCTAGTTTTGATTAAAACACAAGCTTGCCTTTTGAGTATTAGACATAAAACGTTTTGAGCTATTCAACATAAAAAATATAGTCACTACTTCTTAGCCCTGTATAACCACTTCTAATAATAAAATCATATAAAGTACATTACTTGATGTTTATATTTTAGATTGGCAAGCCAATAAAGAGACTCGGGTCGTCTGGGTATTTTTGAAATGACTTCTGATTTTTATACACAGCTTCCCATCTTGTTCCAAAATTAGTATCTTGGGAAATAAAATATCTATGGTTTGCACATTATTTGCATGCTCTTTAAGCAAGAGGATAAGCTTCTTACCCTCCATAATTGAACCTTAATGCCTACTTTGCCCTTCGGCTCCGTTGGCACAACCTTGGCCGGCAGACCCGCCTAGAAACTCGCGCCGCTATTCTTGCCAATCGCTGGAGGGGATTCTTTAAACGTGACAGAAGTTTACCTCGGTACACGTGATTGGGAGACGCGCACGCGCGGTTGCTGCTTCTTGCCTCCCCCCTTTTTTTTCTCAGGTTATCATGGCGGCCGGAGGGGCTCACGTTGCCAAAGGGAAACCTGCCTCCCTGTTACAGGAGCGGGAATGGGAAAACGCGGCCAAGAAGGCGGCTGAAGGTATGGTCAGGTGTGAATAGAAATAGCATGGAAATGAGCAGGCGTGTTTCTGCAGTGCATGCAGAAAACGAGGTTTGTAGGGCAAGAAGGACTATTCAGGGCTTTGAAATACATGGTGAATAAAATGGAGAGGAAGGCAGGATGATCGAGATTAGAGAAGATGAAATGCTGAAGTTAGGTGTGTGGGGGTGAAGAGACTTCTTGGGAAATTATGCTCAGGAGTGTAATTCAATAGTACCCTTAATAAATTAATCCTGGGGTTTTTAGAGTGGTTTTTTTCTCCCATCTATAGTAAATGCGTTTATCCGCCTCTGTATCCAGCAATTATAATCGGTGGAAGTCGAGCACAAGCAAGCTGTTCGTTCATAAAGTGAAGCAGTTGGTATTGCAGGGTATGGCACGTGTTACTTTTGGTAAAGGAAAAAAAATGAATCAGTTCTTCGTTCAAAGAACCCTTCCCAGACTTGGTTGTCTTTGAAACTATAAGTGAATGGGGGAGACGAGGTTTGAAAAAAAGGATAACGAAGACTCATGTAAATAAATATTGTCGACATTATCATAAAGCTTTTAGGTAGGAAAAAATGGTTTCATTTTCATGTAGTGTAGCATTCTCTGAAATACATAACGGAAAGGAAAGTGCATGAAGGATTCTTTCTCACATTTGGCCAGGTGGACAGACACATTCCACTATGTATTTTTTTTGTTTTGTTTAGGTAAGACTGGAAGAATAGTTTTCCTAGCAGCACAGTCATTTATAGCAACCAGTCATTTTATGGGTATTGGTTACATCCTAGATCAAGTTATGTAGGTACCATGATATTCTAAACTGAACTTGGTTATTCTTTCATGTTGCAAGCAGTTATTTGATCCCATTTTTTATTTACAAAAGAGTGGGTTTTTTGGCTTTCGAATTCATGAAGAGTTTTCTTAATGTCAAGTGTGATTAGAAACTATGAAAAATACATGCTTATGTTTTGGTTTAATACCTTGGATTTTGAATTCCAATCTGAATTGGAACTTTTTGACAGTTTACTTGGGAAAAGGATTGTGGGATTTTATCATGGGTTTTGGTGCCCATTACAAATAAATAACAACAGGGCTAAACAGTAAAGGGTGTTGCTTCTAGCTGGGTAGGGGAGAAATACTGTAAATCCTTGATTTAGTGGATCTTGGTTTAGCAGGTTTCCAGCACAACAGAAAATATGTGTGTATTTTCTATGCCTGCATAAAATTCTGTTTACCATTTTATGCACATATTAAATGCATAAAGTACACATTTATAAAATCCTATTTGGATTTAACATTCTGTTTTGCTTTTCTCTGATTAGTTAAATCAAAGGTTGGTTGCATCTTGAAAGTGAATGAAATAACTCGTTTTCCTTAACTTTCAATCTAGATAATACTGGTAAGAATAATACAGTTCTCTATTTCCCACGGACTGTATTCTACAACAGGGATATACTGTAGGCAGTGCAGGCTGCATGGGTAAAATGCAAAAATTACAGGGAACTATTTAGCAGCGTATTAGCTATTTAATGAATTCAGTGCTGGGATAGATTTTGAAAAGATTCTATACAATATTTCTTTTTCTATTGTAATTAGACCAATTTTTGTTTATAAACTTGTTTACTTTTTTCTATGTGCAAATTTCCTCATTGCTAGTAAGATAAAGCAGTTGTTCAGTAAAGATTGTGGATACTGTGACCTTTTTGGTATAAATGTATATTTTTCTGATTTTACATTTGAAATTTCAGACCCTATGACTTGACTATATTGTAAATAAGTGCATGGCACAAAGATAACAAGCATATATTGAATGTAAAAATAATTGCAGGCCTAAATTCCAATGGCTTAACTCCGTATTTCATGAGGAGCTGAAATCCAAGCCTTTCTATTGTTACTAATATTGTAGAAGCACAATAATATACTTGGATGTATGCTCTTCTGGGAATGAAAGAGTTAAGAATATTTATTAGAGGGACTGTTTTGAACTTGGCTAATGTAATTATTTTCTTCAGTGTTCAGATGCCATTTTTCTACATACACAACAAAATATATTGTCATGAAAATGTCACATTTAAGAAAAATGATAGGCAATGCTTGCCTTAAAATATTCAATGTTATAATTATATAATACTTTTTATATTATAATACTTTTTAATTCTAGATGAAAAGCTGAAGAAATTTAGTGAACTTTGTCCACTATAAGAGTTGCTGATGTTTCTGTTC